CACGAATAACAGATAGTTTGGCGATGTGCCATGTATGTACTGTAGCTTTGCGTTACACCCCTTAAACTTACTGTAAGTTGAATATTCAGTGTGGACCTTTCATAAACTAAAATATTCCTATCAATATAATGCTCAGGGCAACTTGGAAAACATTCGCGTTAAGTAAGGCTTTGTGAAGATGCACGATTAATTTATAATTTTCTTTTACTGTAACAGGTGCAGAGATACACTTTGAGACAAATATGACGTTTTTTACCTAAATTTGTCATTATCAATATTAAATTGTCTGACAATTTGACAATTACTGAAATACGATCTGACAAGTGCTGATTTCATTGCGTAGATTGTTAATCGTGCACTGTTTCAAGTTAAGATACACAGTATCATGTGTATGTTTAGAAAAAGCAAAATAAATCATTTCTGTCCGTGATTCGGGGTACACTGAAAATCACTACATACTTTGCAAAGCGCAAACAAACTGTATGAAAACGCATGCGTGTAAGGTAAAGTTAAGTCAGGTACTTCCAACGACTCGTACTTGATATTATCAATGATTTATAGATGATGATATGTAAGTAGTATGGCATGCAATGAAGACCCAACTCAAAATCCTAGTCACCTCGGCGACTAATTAACAAAACAACTGTCTCATCCGACGCGACAATATATGAAGTATTAGCAGTGAATGGAAAATTAGTGACGAATATAAATATTGAGTTAATTCGCTAACTGATGTGTCAAGATACATGTTACGCTAACTGTTACACTAGATCCTCCATTGTGGATACCATGGTTACTTCGTACAAAGTACCCAACAAATCTAGCAAGCTAAATAATAGCATGTATGTGTAGTAACTACTATATATCACAAGTAACCTGTAGAATGCTGTGTGGGTAATATTTTTATATTGATTTTTGCTGCATTCGCAGCAAATAGTTACCAAACAATGAGAAAGGTGGCTTCACATGCACAGTTCAAGCCTGCCTAACCGGTGCTTATACCAGGATTTAGTTACAGCTTCATGTTCCCAGTAATCGCACGAAATTGACATGACCATAGACATTCATGAAAGACTGGCACTCCCATGCAATTAACAGCGAGTTAAATTGAAACATATATTTTGAAGTCACTGATGTAGGCAATGAATAAATTAAAGTTGACATAAAGACGAGGTAGTTTATGATTTAATCAGTGCTCAACTATGA